AGCAAGTGCGAGAAATGTTATCGAACATACCACACCTCAATGGACTTAAGTCATACAGCATAGCCATTCGTATATTTTGATCCGTTTATAAATGTTGATCGTACCATACCGACTTATGTTAACTTGTCTTTTGAGAAACTCGTATGAAAGATGGTTTCTGGTATAGTTTTGTGCTCGATTTATCTGCCGTACTTTTAGCTTGTTTTCCTTCATCGCCGACCACGTGTGCGGTTTGTGTATACTTCTTATATAGGTATCCTATAAAGTTGTTGCAGAAATCTGCAGGATTTCTCTAATTATCTTATACAAGATTGAATCTGTATGATTGAAGCTGGAATTTATTTAGCTTTATTTGGTTTGAGTTTTTGACGTTTCCATGTTCAAAATTCTCAAAAATAATGCCAAAAAGTGAAAATTGTTGCATAATTATTGAAAAGAAACCTAGTTATAATTTGTTCACCAAATGCGCACAAAAGTAGACTTGAGCACGAATTAAAATCGTGAGTTTGGTGACAGATCGATCTAATTAATTATCTAGCTTCTCGCAAGGTCGTCAGTGAGATTTATTTTATACAACGTACGGTTGTACTCTGCTTTTCCATCTGCAGTCTGCTTTCTGCCAAAAAGTATATAGATTCTAAATATTGCTCTAAGATTTGAAAATAAGAATACATTTAGGATCTGTTTCGGATATAAAAGAGACTTAATCCTAGGTGTCTAGTGTCAGATGTCTGCGGTGTAAAGTAGAGCGTATTCTGCGCATTTTGTTCGCCATTGTTAACTGGCTATAGAAAGCTGATAGAGAACGAACGCAATTATTATTATTATTATTCGTCAACAGAGATGCTACCGTTTCGTAAAATTGTTTTACTGTTTAATATTGGGCTGAATATGCTTTTTGCTTTAAAAATCATATGATGTGCAGAAAGATAGAAATTCATATTGGAATTTTGTGTAGTTTCAACTGTAAAATTAGCCAGTTGCGAGAACAAAGGAAAATGCACGTTCTTCGAATGTAAATTAGGTTTGACACATGCGTCTTTTCTTCTAATGAGTGTGTAAAATTTAGCAAAACTTCGAACTACTCAAACTTCACACAAATATCACTCTACGCAGAGTGCAACTATGAATTAGTACCGGAGAGCATCATTGTTTGTAGACCTCGATATACGTTTCCCTCACATTCTGGTTGTAAAAAACCCTGAAGTGTAAAATCTATTTTCCTCTGGTAAAAATATTTCTTTTTATATCAAAATCAATCTAGGGGTGTAACCGGTATCAAAAATGCGGTACCGGTCACCGGTATACAAACTTCGTATCGGTATGCCGGTGACCGGTTTACCGGTCGGTACCGGCTTGTCTTGATCATATTTTGCCTAAATACAAATACTTTTCCCTTGTTTTTCTTTACTCTGAACTTTATTTTATATTATCAAAAGGATCCATTAATCTTTCACTCTGATTATGTAAACAGACGTCTTTTTATAAAAATTGTGCATTATTTAATGCGCAGATTCCAAATACGTGATTGATTTTGGTATAAAGAAATATTTTTATCGCAGGAAAATAGATTTTACAGTTTACGGTTTTTTACAACCAGAATGTGAGGAAAACCTATACCGAGGTCTACAAACAATGAAACTACCGGCACTAATTCATAGTTGCACTCTGCGTAGAGTGATATTTGTGTGACGTTTAAGCTAAAAAGGTGCAGCTGCTTGGTCTTGTTAGTAGAAGGAAAGACTTTCGTTTAGCTCTCTTTCACAAAATAATCATAGAATGGAGTGTCTGAGAGTCAGCGGTGTGCGGTATATTGTCTCACTGGAATTTAGCACACCGCTGACCATGAGCGTCTCTAATAGAAGAATGAAAATATCTTTCTCTTAACAGAAAACCAACAGTTCTTCTTTCCTTCTCGAAGACGTGCAATCAGTTACCACGGAGGGGGATCTGAAAAGCTTCTGTAGCTCCATTCAAACGAGCATTATATCAGCATTTATTCACACGAAATTTGTTTCGAGTGCCAATGTCTTGCATTTTTCGAATATCACTTTTGTTCGGGCAAGTGTTACGATCCAGAGACTAGACGATCTGTGGTGTACTGTAACCGCATAATCGGCAGCCATGATGTTTCAATTGTGCATAAATGAGTAACATTTGCGTAGTTCAATATCGTCAAAACCAATTTATGTTTGCGGTCAAGAACAGGTTTAAGGAAATTTTGCTCGATTTTCTGCTCTGTCCTCAGAAGTGCATTACATTGGAAATAACATATGTTATGTGACATTTTCAGGAGACGGATTTTTACCGAAATCATGTATACTTTATTGACGTGCCGTGTGAGTTCTCGCATTATTTTATATAACATTGAGGGATTTCAATATTAGCTGGCGAGCAATTGATAATTTTATGTCAGCTGTTGGTGGTATGAGGTGTATGACAGCTGAAAAATGGGCCGAAATTTTCTTAACGGGTGATTTTGAAATGTTTGTGCAAGATGATCGTGGTGGCAAACAAGGCGAATCATTCTTTGATGTTCCTCCAGAACTGGAGATTCCAGCTAAGTTGTATGTAGCTGAAGCTTCGTCACAAAAATCAACCGTCTTCAAAGCGCTTGATGTTTCAAATTATATTGACTCACAATACTATGAACTTACGAATACGAATAAAAGCAACAATGAATTGATTAGGTCCGAACGAATGTGTCGGTTGGATATGAGACGGTGGGAATGTAAATTCGAGTCGAATACACAGCGACCATATTTTCAGGGCCATGACAGAGCAGATGTTTTGGCATACAGAAAAGAATTTCTTAGTTATTTTTTGTCAAGAAAAAACAATTATTATCTTGTTAATATTGGTGATCAGCCGATATGGTCTATTCCAACGCAACAACCAAGAATACTTATTTGTAAGTTCGAATATCAAATTCACAAGGCATTTTGCAATATGTCTCCTGCTTTCCCTCGCTGTCTATGTCACGTTGACTCAACGTTCAGATCTGGCGAGGTATTCGCCAAACGATGGATCTATGATGATAATCATACAGCGACAGCGACAATCAGCAGTGGAACCAATTTATATTTTAAAAATGATACAATATTATCACAATTTGAGCGTCTGTTCCGAATGTTGGAATTTAAAACTGAATATAAGAACCACCATATTGATATTTTCGTCGGTAATGCGAGAACTCACACGGCACGTCAGTACAGTATACATGATTTCGGTAAAAATATTAATACCAGATGTCCAGTTGATCATATTGAATTTTCTGATAAAAATGGTGTGAAACAATCGAGACATTGCTATATTGAAAGTGGACCAAATAAGAATAAGAGTAAGGGCCTACTGAAGAT